TCTATAGTAAGTAGAAATGGTTCCCTCTCTTTCTCTTTTTAAATAGACTTTATTTTTAGAGCAGTTTTAGGTTTATAGAAAAATTGTGCAGCAAGTACAGAGGTCCTTAACTTAATCACAGCTGCAAAGTCCCTCTTACCATGTAAGGTAACATTCACAAATTCCAGGGATTAGGACTTGGACATCTTTGGGGGGAGGGGCATTGTTCAGCCTACCACAGTAGTCACTTTTTTTTTTTTTTAAAGCTCAGCTAATTCTCCACTGAAGATTTTCCTACCTGTATTTCCAGTGCGAACTACATTAGAAAGCATTCACACTGATGTGCTTTTTAGTGTATTCTGGGATTGAGTAGGTCAGGAGGTAGGAGGAGCAGCCAAGAGAAACTCCTAGGGGAAGCTGAACTTCTGTAACTGAGCTCTTTAACACAACTGTTCTTTAATAATTAACACCTGCTGTCAACCTGTGACTGTCCCCACTGCAGAGGAGGTACTAGGAGGTTACTATATTCGCCTTCAGTTCTGCCGTTAAATGTTTGCAGCCACCAGTTAGACGATAAATAAATGATATGGTGGGAGGAGGAGAAGTGAGTTAGACAATTTCAACACAGTATTAAAAACAAATAAACAAAAATGGAAAATGCTGCATAGGATTACAGTAGAAAAGTAAATTAAAAGTATAGTGATGCTGCATAGTTTTAAAAATTCTCATACTTTTTCAAAAAGGTAACTGGAATGTAAGTTCTGCCATACTTGATCTTCATTGATTTAAATTTAAATTAGTAAAGTTTACTATTTACTTTACTATGAAGATCAGTTTCCCTATTCTTGACATTATTGGTAAGTTTTAAAATATCACTTCAAGACCCCCACCTTCCCATTGGTTTATATTTTGGATCATAAAATAGATAGAGTAATAGGATAATCAAACAAAAACCCAAACCCATTGCTGAGTTGATTCCGACTCATAGCGACCCTATAGAACAGAGCAGAATTGCCACATAGGGTTTCCAAGGAAGTGGCTGGTGGATTCGAACTGCTGACCTTTTGGTTAGCAGCCGAGCTCTTAGCCACTGTGCCACCAGGGCTCTGGTAATAGTATACAATACTTCAAATTAAGTTTTTTTTTTACTTTTTATGGCAAAACACAGGATGAATTGGTGAGGGGAATAACTGCACTAGAGTTAAAAAAAAAAAAAAAAACTCACTGCCTTTGAGTTGATTCCAACTCATAGCGACCCTATAGGACAGAGTAGAACTGCCCCATACGGTTTCCAAGGAGCACCTGGTGTATTCAAACTGCTGACTTTCTGGTTAGTAGCCTGAGCTTTTAACCTCTGTGCCACCAGGGTTCCAGCACTAGAATAGTCTGAGGCAGATGTTCACATCACCTCCGCAGAGGTTTACTGAGCCCTTGCTGTGACCAGGTTCTGAGCCAGGGGATGTAAAAATAATCACTGCAAGTTCCTGCCTTGAGGGGCAGGCCCCACAACTCCAGAATGAGTTTACAACACTCTGTAGCACCTTCAGATTATTTACATAATTTTTTAAAAAATCATGTAACAACAATACAACTGTGAAATTAAAGAGAATGTTTTGTAGGAAAAACCCTGTCTTTTCTGACTTTATTTTGCCTTTTCCTTTCCAGCCTTTTGTTTGCATGTTTGTTCACATGTATTTTTACAGTTACAAGCATAATGTCATACAAGTTTAATCTCTCTCAAAATTGATCCTGATATAGATTGTAAGGAGATGGGAGTGTTGCTGGTGGCACTGTCAGGTCCCCACAGGGTGTTATGCAAGTCTATCCCTCAGGTTCAGCCTCGTCTTACTAAGCTCACCACACTGGCATAGAGAAGCCAGAAGTGATTTATATCAAAGTACTATGTGTATTCATTTAAGGTGAGATAGCGCTGGTTCTTCTCACTCAGCTGCTAGTTCAGTGAAGGAAAGACACCACAGATTTTTGTTTGTTGGTTGGCTTGTTTGCTTTCCTCATCATTTTGTTCAGCCAAGTACCTAGCACAATGCCTGGTAGTCATTATTTAGTAAATGAACAATCAGCCCATTTGCTCCCAGAATGCAGGTTTGCTTTGTGGAACCAAATTGTAAACCAAAGATGGTGAGTGAGCTTGAAATTGGCAAGGCTGGCATCATCAAGCTGTTCCCAGGTGATAACAGCTCTACTCTCTTTTCTAACAGTTTGTCTTTTTTTTTTTCTCTTAATTGAACACACTAATCCATCTGGAATTAATTTTAGTGCATCATGCATTGTTTAGTTTCAATTAATCTTTTTCACATTTTTTAATCAAGTTATAATACTATTTATTTAGTATTTTCCTATTATGTAGTTTTGAAAAATTGCTTGTGTCATGTAAATAGTTGGGTCTATTCTGGGCTCCTTAGAGCGTTCCATTTTCTGTATTTGTTCTTATACTCTCTCTAATTCTGTCTTCATTAATATTGTTTTGTAGTATATTCTAAATTCTGATAGTGCCTAGGCCATACCTTCCTCCATTGATTTTCTGTTTCAAGATATACTTACTCGTTGACTATTTGTTCTCACAAAGTAATTTTAGAATTATTTTGTTATGCTATTTAAAGAATCTTGTTAAATATGTGTATTAAAATAATAAACAAAAATGTCCTAGCTGTGTTTTTTCAGCCAGGTTGAAATATAGTGAATATTTATCCCTGACCCATTACATGGTCAGTTGAGGTGATGGTGCTTGGAAAAAACATTCTAGAACATGAGGAACAAGCTCTATAGGAAATCAAGAAGATGGAAGTGAATAGTACATATAGAAATTATATAAAGACTTATCTCTACATTTCAAGCAAGCTGCACAATTCAACCTATTAAATAATTTTGCTGCCCTCAGTGATAGATGTAAAGGGCAGAATAGAGGACAGAACAGATGATGCTTAGTGCTACAGGGATACTTCAGCCTCATTTCATTGGATTTTGTTTATACGTTTCAAATCAGTCTCAGGAAGAACTTGGAATTGCCTAGTGGTTAAAAAATGCAAACTCAAAGGACAGACTGACTAGGTTTGAATCAGCTTCTCCATTTAGTAACTGGAACTCAGTTTACTCAAAATGGGATAATGATAGTGCCTGCCTTGTAGAATTGTTAGGAGAGAGATGTAAATTGATAGATGCAAAGGACTTCAACAGTACTGGGCCAATAAATGTTAGTTGTGTTAAGGAGATTTTGTGCTATCGACAAACTTTTTGGTTTGGGAGAGACCAACTTACCTTTTTTTGTTTTCCCACTCTGAAAGTCTACCCTGTACAGGTCTGCACTGGCAGTGCTACCTGTAAGCCTGCACTCTCATAGCTGGCCCACACCATTATCAAGGAAATGCTTCTGAGGTTTCGTAACTGCCTTATTTATTGTTGCTCTCTGGCAGCCATCCCCTGGCCTTCTAGCAAAAAGAGCTGGATTTCATTAAAATTCAATCTCTCTTGATACCATCTCCGCTGGATATTAGAGGGGACTGCTAGCAGCAGAGCTTTAGCGACCTGATTAAGAGTAGGTTTTGGTTGGAATTTTATAAGAGCTCTAAAAATTACCTTTTATAAAGTGTCTCTCCACATCTACCCATTCCCTTGTGTCCCAGGCTCCCTGTCTGTCCCTAGCCCATCCCACCAGCCTGGGAACTCAGCCAAGCCACCAGTGGCTTTCTCAAGGTGGACACTGAGATGAGTCTTTCTTCATGTTTCAGGTGCGAGTTCTCTCCTGGCGTCCCGAGTCCCCACTCCCGGGCCCTCTGTATGACTGACACCGCAGTCGGCCATGGAACCTGGCCCTGCCCTGGCCTGGCTCCTGCTCCTGAGCCTGCTGGCCGATTGTCTGAAAGCTGCTCAGTCCCGCGACTTCACAGTGAAAGACATTATCTACCTCCACCCTTCAAGTAAGACTCTATTCTCTTTGCACAGAAATGTCACTGTATTGCAAGTAACAAGTGGGTTGAAAAATGGCCAGGAGAAGGCAACCTTCAATGAAGGGGTCACCTGTGGTGATTTAACTGGGGGATGCAATAAGGACAAAAGATGTGGTATGTTTTACCCTCACCTTTTCTCCCAGTGTTTACTTTTTATTCTTAAGCAAATTATAAGGCTGTTTTCTCTGTCCCCTACACAATCACTCTGATTCTGAACACCCTTCTCTTTTACTCATGCTAACCCTGAGTCAGTTATCAAAGTGGACCGCCATGTCCTGGGAGAAGGATTGTTTGTAAAAGATACATCCTTTATAGGCAAGATAATAGCTGGTCTTCCTCTCTGTTCATCCAGTTCTCAGTTTCAGCATAATTGCCTCCCATAACTTCCCATTCCCTATCTCTTTTGGTTTCCTGTGCTTACGAATTCTCCAGGGAGCATATAATAATGTGGATTCCCAGGTCCCTTCCCTGGAGTTTCTGGTCACCTGTGTCTGGAGCTGTACCGTGGATTTTTGCTTTCAGCAAGACTCCCTCTCAGGTGCTTCTGCTGCAAATATTCTGAGGATCACATTTTGGGAAATGCTGCAGTTTTATTTCCAGTTTTGGTCTCCATCCCTATGTTTATCTTGTCTCTTTTATTTTTGTATGAATCATCTTCTGTATTGCCCCACAGTGGGGAGAGCTGGGTTTGTTGTGTGCATTTTGACCTTTTAGCTTATGTCCCTGGGTACATTCTTCTTTTGAAATGTTCTGTTCAACAAGTATTTTTTGAGTGTCTGCTGTGTGTCAGGCATTGCAATAGGCATCAGAGGGATAAAGGCAAATAAAACAGTCCTTGCTTTTGAGAACCTTACCATCTACAAAGTGGAGGCAGCCAGTGGGACTCCTGTGATCCCATGGTTAGAATATTTAACATTGAAATGCTCTGGATTCGCTGAGAGGTAGTCTGCTGCAGTGGAATGCACAGGGGCTTGGAGTCCACTCAGCCTGGGGTCAGCAACTAGCTCAGCTGCTTCCGAGCCTTTTGACCTGAAATAAATTCCCTAACCTTGTGAGGATTAAATAAAACAGTGCACACGAAGCCCTTAGTGCACCAAATGTGAGCCATCGTAAGTGCTTAATCAGTGTTAGCAGAATCTTTTTAAGTGTTAATTTCCTCATTCCTAAATTGTATAAAATAATATATACCCTGTAATGTTATTTTATAGACTAGAAATAATATCCGTAAAACACCAGGCCCATCCATGATAGGCAGTCAAATGGTATTGTTTATGATGTTGTGGTTGTTGTTGGCTTATACAGTAAACTGAGGGTGCTGAAAATACATCAGCCTAATTTTGCATAGGTGGCTGGGTGGCACAAATGGTTAAGTGCACAACTATTCGCTGAAAGGTTGGCGGTTCAAACCCACAGAGATACCTCGAAGATAGGCCTGGAAATCTGCTTCCGAAAAGTCACAGCCTTGAAAACCCAATGGCGCGGTTCTACTGTGCATACGTGGGGTCGCCGTGAGTAGGAATAGGCTCAACGGCAACTAAAAACAAATTTTGCATCAATTCCAAATACCATTTTGACAGGCAGCAAATAGTTTCCTCAGATTTAATACAACTGTACCCTCCCACCAGTATAGTGTGGTGCCTACTCATTAATTGTATGGGAAGCTTATCTTTTGCTTATTTTTGCACAACTCTTTACTTTCTTTTAATAACATTCATGAAAAGAAGGTGTGTTGCTACTTGCTGTTTTCTAGGATTGCATTTTGTTCTTTTCTCCAAACAGCCATGGTTTTTTACTAGTCTTGGTGAAGTAGAAACTTAGAGTCCAGTCTCTTAGGTTTGATTGTCAGGATTTTCAGCTTCTGTGGGATTTCTTGTTGGCTTCAATGACAGACTCAGTAGTAACCTGGCCCGCAGAAACAGGCCCACACAAGACTTTCTCTGAGGCTGTGAGTCTACACCCAGAGTGGGAAAGAAAAGAGATGTGATTGCTGGTATTTAAGTGAACAAAAACAAACAAATACGCCACTTCTGCCTCAGTGGTGTGGTTGGTCAGTGCCTGAGTGAGTGGGCCCCTATTTGAAGACTTTATGGAATGGGGCCCTTGAAAGGTAAGCTCTTTGAAGGAGGCCAGCAGGAGAATCACTTGTGCTCCTTAAAAGTTGGTGGAAAGTCCTGCTCATGTGACCTGTGTTAATTGAATAGAGCCATGACCTGATTAGAAGGAACTCACCATATGAAAAGAATTAGTGGAGTTTTCTGATATGATTTTGAAATATGTAGGACAGAAGTAGTTCCTAAGATAGATGGTAAGTAGATTCACTCCTGGTGAGCAGATGAGGACCTAACTCTTCTTCTGACCCCCTGTAACTGGTCATGAGGAATGTAAATTCTTGTTGGATTGAACTTACAGTGAATGCCTCCTACGTGGCCAGAACCTGAGTTACTCAGTCAGAGTTAACTTCATATTTCTCTGCAGTGTTTCAGAAGTTTTTGGTGTTTGTTTTTACACTTTGATTTTTTTTAACGGTCATGGTCCTATGCCTTGAGAAGCACCCACTAGACCGTGTTTAGTGGGAGCTATCTCTCCACACATAAACAGGCTTCTGTAAGACATAGACCATTAAAAATACATGAGAGAAGTGTGGGATTATTTTTATTTTGAATTATTTAGGTAATCGCCTCACTTTGTGGATGGAGGCACAGGCAGCTTTCTTTGGGTCAGTGGCTGAGCCAGATCTCATTCATGTTAGATGTGAGAAATGTGGTGATGCAGGATGTGTGAGAAGACACACAAGTTTTCTACAGAAGACAAACATAAACTCACTTCTCATGGGCCCAGAGCAGCCATCGGAGGGAATAACTGGGGTGAGATTGGAACCGAGGTTGGGAAAGTTCAGTCTCTCAGGTCTAATCTCTGCTTCTGGTTTCCTGATCTTTGAAGCTTCCAAGCCTTTAAAAGAAAGAAAGCTTATGGATTTCAAACTTGAGGTGCCAGCCTCAATGATGTTCTTGTCCATAATTTGTGTTTTTGGCTTTTTAATGATGAATTTCTTCCTAGCACACGATTAAAGTACGAAAGTCTAATAAAATCCTTCAAAAAAGGATTTTCTCTTGGTATTAGGAGAAATGAAGCTGCTTATTTGGTTGTCTGGCACACATCATACAAGATAGAACAATTCAGTATCTGAAGTGGCTTTGACCTGCTTCTGGCCTCCATTTCTTTCCTTGGAATAGAAAATTTTCCTGAGAATGTCCAACTTCCCTCTGGTTGCATGTTCTGAGTCTTCCTTTAATTACATGCACCAAAGAGCTATATCCCTGCAGGTGGCTTATCTTTGCCCAGGCAGAGAACTAACGAAGTTTACTCACAAACCTATGCTGTGTAAGTCTTAGAGGATAAGGAGATCCTGCAGGTGGCTCGTCTTCGCCCAGGCAGAGAACCAACAAAGTTTACTCACAAATCTACACTGCGTAAGTCTTAGAGGGTAAGAAGACTTTCTAGAAAGGTACCAGGAGATACATTTCTATGAGATATATGTTCTCATTATGAAAACAATACAATAGTTCCAAGTGGCCAGAGAAGGAAGATAAAGGTATTAAATTTCTAGAATGTTTTATATTTGCATTCAGTTTCTATAAGCAATGGAAATCAATTTGGCAAGAATAGAAAAAACTTGAAGTGCATTTCACATCAGCAAACATTTCAAAACGAGATTCTCTTCTCCCCGCGTTGTCAGTAACTGAAGCCCTTCATCCAGGCAAAACTTCCAAGAGACAGAAACAAAGACTAAATCTTTTCTGATGCCTTTCTGACAAACGAATTATGGTCAGATGAACTATGGCTGACCGTGAGAGTTAATGGACAGATTATGTTACAGGAAGTAACTGGGCATTTTGGCACTCCTTTTTTTCTTCACAATCACCTTCTCTTGAGGGACCAAGGACTTATGCCCTGAAATACAGAGTACTAAGCTTATTAACTCTCTGATCAAGAGCCAAATTAGATTCATTCACAGCTGGGGCAACAACAATTTGAAACTTTCCTGGCTCTGTAATGCTTTGAAGTAACAAAGAAGAAAATAGCACCATCTCTTAGAAACCTCTTTCCGTCCCTCTTTAAAAAAAACTTCTTTATCAGATGTGGTATCAACTAGCAAGTGACTGGAGAGAGTTGTTCGTCTCTGAGCCTGATTTTTGGCTAAATATTACCTGAGGGAAGAAATTAACCATTTACTTGGTATTGTGCTACAGTTAGCCACTGTAAAGCTGAGTACGTGTGTGGAGATTCACCACTGAAAACAGTACTACCTGCCAGGATGTAAATAAAAGTTCCTAGAAGCACATATTAAACTGTAGCCCTTGAGAAGCTACACAAATGTGGAAAAATAAAACTCACCTAAAATGAGATCTCTTCGTTAATTGCCAATGATACATACTGATAAACACATTCAGAGATAAATGCATTGAAGCAAAGCTTCTTTTTGCTGCCAGAGTGTTTTAGCTTACACACTGGTTCAAAGTTTAATGTACTTTGAGTTACTTTCAGGTCCAGTCCTACTTATGTAAGAAATGACAGCATTTAATTTACTATGTCGATAGTCTTGCAAAAGAAAATTTTGAAGAGTCTGTTAAATAATCCATATTTGGGAACACTACAACATATTAGTGTTAGGTTCTTAATAAGTTTATTCTCCGAGCAGTTAGATCATCAGTCTTCATTCAGAGTTTGTAATTTATCTTTTTAATGGGAAAATTTCCAGGAATAACTAATCTAACATTCCAGCCAAAAATTTCACTGGCTGCAATGACAGATAAAATTGGATGTTCTAGTGAATTAATCATGTAAGCTGAAGTGGTACGGCCAAGCTTGTAGTCATAAACCTTGGTGAATATGATGATCATCTTCTGCAAAATGCTCTTTTTTGACAAATAGTTTACATTTTTTTCAAAACTCCTACTTTGATCATTCTACTTTAAATTTTACAAGCTGTTTTAAAACTATATCTTTTAATGTTATTTGTATATCACATATTTTAAAATTGATAGTGAAACTATTTTTTTAATGTATTCAATCAGGAAAATTTCCTAAAATATTGTGTATAGCTTTTCTCAGAATGATATTTATAAAAAATAAGTTAATTAAAATGTCCATAAGAATATTGAATGGCTTTGGAATTAGAGAATCTGTTTGTTTTGAATTCTTCAGGCATATACTTACCTAAATAGAATCTTTCAATTCCGATGCAACCCACCTTTCCAGGTTGTGCAACATGGAGATACACAATTATTAGTGTGTAGTTTTGCAGAATACTTTACTTCTGCTTAATTATTATTATAGGATAGGAATGCATGTTCCCATAGTGAAGTCTCCTCCTTGAGAATGAGTGGTTTGATGGTTACGTCTAAGCTGCTTTCCTTCTCTCATTTTCTAAGATAATCCATGCCCTCACCATCATCCTGTTTGTGAATGTGAGTCCGCTTGGAGGAACATAGATTTCTCCAGTAGCCCCATAGAAAGGTCCAGTGGCATGTCTTTTTGAGACAGTTTATGATTTTTGGTCAGGTTAGATTATGGATATTGTCACTGTCAGCTCTGCGAAATGTTGCAGGCAAGTACCTGGATGAGTTGCTCTTCCAGGCAAGGTGAAAGCCAAAGTTATATCTGGACCATAATTCTGGCCTTAAGCTGCTGCCTCCTCCTTCATTTATTTTTGATAACATACTTAATTGGTTCCATGTGGGCAAACCAATTTACCCTGAGATGATAATTTCCGCCAGTGGGATATGCTCGCTCAGCCATCTGTGAGGGAAAACAGTTGGCTCCTGCAGATGAAGTGCATGAGTGTTTGCAGCTTCCAAATAGGCCAGGTAGTTTTACAAATTAATACACACACACTCACACACGCATGAGTTTTGTTTATGAAAGGTAAAACTCTAAGTAGTAATGCAAGCAAATGATTTTATTTAAGCAGCAAGTAGGAAACCTGGCGGCACAATGGTTAAGCACTTGGCTGCCAACTGAAAGGCTGGCGGTTTGAATCCACCCAGTAGCTCTGTGGGAGAAAGACTGGGCAATCTGCTCCAGTAAACATTACAGCCTAGAAAACCCTATGGGGCAGTTCTACTCAATCACATGGGGTTGCTATGAGTTGGAATCGACTTGACGGCACCCAATAACAACAACAAGAAGCAAGTAGAAGAACTTGAGTGAAAAGGACAGAGAACAGCCTGGCCTAACGTTTCTTGTAAATCCGCATCCTTAAATGTTGAAAGAAGGCTCTCCAGAGCATAACTCTCACGTGACACCTGCCCACCTGCACAGGGAATGAATATGGGTATCTGCAGGTTAATCTTTTCAGAAGACAAGGAGAGGTAACTCAGGGGTGGGAGAGTAGGGAATAGATAGGAGAGGCTTACTGAAATTATTTCTGTCTTAGGCTGGACCACTAGAGTTAACCAGAACAAGTTGCTGTCGAGTCGACTCCAACTCATGGCAACCCCATGTATGTCAGAATAGAACTGTGCTCCATAGGGTTTTCAGTGGCTGATTTTTTTTTGGAAGTACATCACCAGGCGTTTCTTCCGAGGCACCTCTGGGTAGACTCAAACCTCTTAACTTTTGGTTAGCAGCCCAGCACATTAACTGTTTGGACCACCCAGAGACTCCTCATTAGAGTTTGCCAAAAAATGCATGTGTTCACCACTTCCCCACAGCAGCCTGCTCCCAAAGCCCACAAAAGGAGGTGCATAGATGTTTGGGCATGTGCCCGAAAGGCCCCAGAGGAGGGTCACCTCTGTGAAGGCAAGCATACATTTTAGCAGTGAAGACTCTTCTCTTAGTTGTTACCGACCATCCCCAAAGATCCGTAACCATGTCAGATCTGACCAGATAAAATGATTATGTTGAACTATGGAAACTGCCACTTTTGTAGGTCAAAAATGGTCAAACATGAAACATTTTGATTCGACCTAATGTTTTTACTTATGTACTGATATGCCTACATAAGATGGCACATAAGAGTAGGGAGTAGGGTAGTCCCTGACTCGCTATGGGATTCTGTTCTGATGACTCCATTTGAAGTCAGTTCTGATGTAGTCAAATACCTCGTGTTTTCTTATTTTTCATTATTATTGCCTTTTATTATCAGTATCTACAAATCATAACATTGAACATCTGCTAGTGAACATCTGAGAATGATAACATCAGCAAATTATGCACTGCAACATTGTACAAGTACCTGTTATTAATGATGAAACCAACTAACTCAGCCCATTGCCATCAAGTCGATTCCACCTCATAGCGTTCCTACTGGACAGAGTGGAACTGCCCCATACAGTTTCCAAGGCTGCAATCTTTATGGAAGCGGACTGCCACATCTTTCTCCTTCGGAGCACCTGGTGGGTTTGAACCATCTACCTTTCAGTTAGCAGCTGAGCAGTTAACCACTTTCCCACCAGGGTTCCTTTACTAACGATAAGATGTACAAAAAAAAAACAAAAACAAAAAACAAACCCAAAACAGACGGTCTAAGTGTGGTTTATCGTAACTGGAATATGTTGTAAGTTGGGGACTACCTGTAAATTACTGGCAATTCAGAGAATGCCTTTTATTATTGAAATTTGTATTGAGATAATTGTAAATTCACATGCAGTTGTAAGAAGTATACAGAGAGATACTGTGTACACTTTACCAATTTCTCCTAATGGTAACATTTTGAAAAACTATACCACAATATCCCAATCTGGTTACTGACATCAGTCCACTTATATTATTCAGATTTCTCCCATTTTACTTGTACTCATTTGTGTGTATGTTTAGTTCTACACAATTTTATCAGATGTGTGAATATGTGTATCCACCACTACAGTAAAGATACTAAACAAGGATTCTTCTACTTTCATCACATCCACTTCCCCCTGCCCTCATCTCTAACCCCTGACAACCACTAATCTGTTCTCCATTTCTACAATTTTATCATTTCAAAAATGTTGTATAAATGGACTCATGCACCATGTAACTTTTTGGAATTGGCTTTTTTCACTCAGCCTAATTCCTTGGAGATTCATCCAAGTTGTTACATGTATCAATAGTTCATTCCTTTTCATTGCTGAGTAGTACTCCATGTTATGGATATACCACAGTTGTTTAACCATTCACCTGTTAAAGAACATCTGGAGTGTTTCTAATATGGGGCTATTATGAATAAGGCTGCCATGAACATTAGGTACAGATACTGTTGCGAACATAAATTCTCAATTCTTAGGGATAAATGCCCAAGAGTGAAATTGTGGCTCATATGGTAGTTGTGTGTTTAGTTTTGTAAGAAACTCCCAAACTGTTTTGAGAATCCTTTAAAGAAAATGAAAATGTCTAACTTCACAGTGCCTGGTTCTGTGTACAACCCCCCAAATTAACCTTTTCTCTCGATCCTCTTTGTAGCCACACCATATCCTGGTGGATTTAAGTGTTTCACCTGTGAAAAGGCAGCAGACAATTATGAATGCAACCGATGGGCTCCGGACATCTACTGTCCTCGAGGTAAACTCCCAGTACACAGATTGGGGTCCCCAGAGCTATCTATGAGTGAATAGTCCCATTAACTGTGGTACATGTATAAAGAGAGGCGTGCATGCAATTTCAATTACTACTCTTGTCTAAGGCTACAAGTAGTAGATCTTTTATACCACACCAATAATTTATCATCAAAGACTCTCAGAGACATAAACTCATCCATAGGATTGTCCGCTATCTCATGAAGCATCTTTGGAGCTCCAAAATAGGTAAGTGATACTTCCCACCCCCAGGCCCAGCCAAATGTAGAACAAGAAGAAAACAGCCAGCCTGTTGTCTACTCTTATTTGAAGCATTAGTCATTGCATAGTAACCTCCTTGATGTAAATTGTAAATAGATGTTCATATAAAGAATCCATTCATCAGTTTCATTGCAAAGACTTTTGTCCTGAAATTACATGAAAGCTAAATTCTAAATGTCATCACTGCACAAATAAAAACCCCGAACTTTTTAAACTATTAAGTTCTCTTTGAACGATGAGATAGATGCCCATTTGAAGCATGATGTTTTGACCAGAAGGTCCAGATTAGAATGAAGAACCTCTTTTAAACCCTATCAAATGAAAAAAGATGGCTATATTTGGCTACTGAGACCACTGTTAATTGGCTGTTTTATTTTTGGAGGAACATTGATTCATTTGATGGGGGCAAAGTGAGGATGGGGCATTTTATTGACAAATGTTTGAGCAGATAGTTAAAAATGAGGAGTTCGATGCTGATCTAATACAGGTGTCAAAATGAACACGCTAACACCAAATCCATTATTTTTCAACATGATATGAGAGCTCTTATACGCAACCCAACAGCATTCTATTCCTCATGGAGGATTGGAAATTGGGAGAGCAGGGAAATGACAATTAAGAGACAGATGTCAGCCACCTTAGCCAGTACGATTTAACCCATCAGTCTCCACCTAGGCTGCTGGTAGAAACACGTGTGGAACTTTTCAAGATCTCTGAAGCCTATGCCCTGTCTATTTACCAGTGTACCAGTTGCTATCGAGTTGGTTCCGACTAATGACGACCCCATGTGTGTCAGAGTAGAGCTGTGCTCCACAGGGGTTTTAATGGCTGATTTTTTGGAAGGAGATCACCAGGCCTTTTATCTTTTATCTGAGGTGCCTCTAGGTGGACTTGAACCAGCAACCTTTTGGTTAGCAATGAGCATGTTAACCATTTACACCACCCAGGGACACTGAGCCCTGTGTAGAGGTGCCTTAAAAGGGTTCTCAAACGTCAGCATGATCATAATATTGAAACACAGATTTCTGGGCCCCACCCTACAGTTTCTGATTCAGTAGATCTGAGATGAGGCCTGAGAAAGTGCATTTCTAGCAAGTTTTCAGATGGTGGTGATGCTGCTGATCTAGAGACCACACTTGATGAACCACAGCTCTAGATCTGAGTCAGCATTGCTGAGCATAGGGCCCTGCATCAGATTTTTAAATATCTCAGGTGACACTAATGAGAATAGGGTGACAACCACTGGGGGCTCCTCCATCCACTGATAGAAAGTGATTGTAGTGTTATCATTTCTAGATTCCTCTTGTTTAATTTTAGGTGGAGATGCTAATGGGGTCCCAAAAAATCACAGGGAAGAGAAAAAGGAGGAGACACTAAAGATTGATGTAGTCACAAGCTAGATATCCAGCCATGTGGGTAATCAAAGAATGACTCCTGTCCCCATTGCCTTCTGGAGTCGCCCACTCATTTCTGGATGAGCCAGTGTTTTCTGACATCACCACTGCAAAACACATGTTTGGGTGACTTGCTAATCAATCTGGTTAAACTACAGCTTCTCAAACTTGGCTGCACATTGAAATCACCTGGTAAGTTTTAAAAAATACCGATGCCTGGGACCACTCCCAAAGGTTCGTATTTAATTAGTATGGAGTATGGCTGGGCATTAAAGCCTCAGGTGGTTCCAATGTGCAACAAAATTTAAGAAAAACTGGATTAAACATTGACTGTGTAGAAAAACACAGTGATGTGCACGTGTATCCAGGAATCTTTGGGCTCATGGCTGCTGGGGCAAAGCTGAGAAATTAGCTCTTGAAACTGTTGCTGCTGCTCAGAGCTCCTGTACAGGAAGTGTGACCATGCTTCTCTTAGAATTGCCTTAGCACTGCAGTACGGTAGCAGAGATAATGCAGAGGAAAAGGAGGGATGGAGAACTGGTGCTGTCTGCAGGCTTTGGTCTGTATTTCATAGAGGCTCAGTCCAAGTCTGATGGTATACAAGTGCCTCCCTGACCACGAAGGAAAAAGAGGTGACCCGTAGCACTCTAGCTTGAATTCCTCTCGGGGAAGATAGGACGTTCCATCTCAGTGCTTGCTTTTGAGGTCAAAATCTATCCTTTCAAGCACAGGGCATCTTTAGGGCAGTGAAACTATTCTGTAGGATACTGTGATGGTGGGCATGTAATCTTATGCGTTCATCAAAATCCATCCCAAAAGAGTGACCCTTACTGTAAACTTAGACTTTAGTGAATAGTAAGGTATCAGTATGTATGACAGTAATGAGAGATGTTAACAATAGGAGAAACAGTGTGCAGAGGGTAAAAGGAGAGATATGGGAACTCTCTGTACTTTCTGCACAATTTTTCTGTAAACCTAGAACTGCTTTAAAATATAAATCTACTTAAAATCTATCCTTTCAAAGTACAAATACCTAAAAGTGTCACAGGTGATCTTGTGTAATTTTTCCTTTCCTTTTTTATTTTTTTCTCCCACTTTTATCTTTTTGCCATTAAATTTATAGGGTAAATGGAAAGTCATGCACAGAGATTCATGAGGCAGAAAACAACCACCACTGGCCCTTTGGGGGATTATGCAGTGAAAAGTAAGAGTCTGGTTTCTGCTCTGAAAGAGCATGCAGTTTAGCTGGGGAGATAAGATCTGAACATATCAAATATCAAAAATAGCAGGACAAAGCTAAGTGCCAAGTAAGACAAGGCATTAATTGCTGTTGGAATTTAGCAGAGGAAGGGTTATTATGAATAGATGCTATGAACCTTCTTCTCTGTGTCTTTTGGTACACCTATGTAGGCATATATCCCTGGAAGTGGAATTGCTGGGCATAGACACATCCACTTTGACTGTACTGGATACTACCTGACAGTTTCCAAAGTGGTTGTACCGATTCGCACTCTCACCAGCAGTCATGCAAGTTCCAGTTACTCCACAAGGTTGCCAGCACTTGGTATTGACAGAAACAATAGAAGCGAGAAGGTAATGGAATGCATTTTTAAAGCACTGAAAGTAAACAGCTCCCAATCTAGAACTTCACAGAGACTATCAGCCTCGTTTCTCTGCCCTTCCCGTCTCTTCTGGCTGCCCTGCTAGCTCTGAACTCTTCCTTTTGCTTCCAAATCCCTTAAAAATTGGCAAAGCTTTCTGTTTGTTCTCTCAGCTTTCTGGTTGTTCTCTCAGCCTCTCCACCTGTGCAGCTTATGAATCAGCAGATGCCTCACGGGGAAAACTGGTATCAAATGTCAGACTCGCCTCAATGGGTTTTTCTTTTCTCTGGTACCTTATTCTTCAAATCCTGCCTGCCTCGGTAGCTCTCCTATGATTTCACTTTTTTTTTTTTTCCATTTTATCTTGCTGTCTTAATTTTATTTCACTGTGTCTTGGTAAGACGATACAAGCTAGCCCATCTGACATTGGAATCATTGGAATTATTCTTTAATTAGAATTTTTCTAGTGATTTTTCAACCAGAATTTCTACTGCCAGCCTATACAAGATGTTTTTTATGTACCTCAGAGCATTTAACATATTCCAATTCCTAGTGTTTTTGTCCAGATATTTTCTGTTAACACAATTGTCTTGGACAGGAAGGACCTGTTTGATGCTTTTGCCTTGTTCCTTTTCTTTTAATCACTGTCCACGGTAAAAATCCTATTTATCCTTATCCGCGGGAGGCACAAATGGTTTGTACTTGACTACTAACCTAAAGATTGGCGGTTCAAACCCACCCAGTGGTGCTGGGAAAGAAAGACTTTGCAATCTGCTTCTGTAAAGATTATTGTTGTTGTTAGGTGCCATCAAGTCAGTCCTGACTCATAGCGACCCCATGTACAACGGAATGAAACACTGCCTGGTGCTGCACCATTCTCACGATCGTTGCTATGTCTGAGCCCATTGTTGCAGCCACTGTGTCAGTCCGTCTCACTGAGGGTCAAGAAAACCCTATGGAGCAATTCTACTCTGTAACAC